TATAACGAATAAAAAAATAATTAATGAACAAAGAACAATAAAAATGCATAGTAAACCTGCACTCTATGTTCCTCGCAATCACTATAAGAGAGTGATATATAGAATGAATATAAACAAAACATAAAGCACAAAAAAAACAAAATCTTCTACTCTACTGTAAAGGGAAGATCTGTGAACGGGTAGACTGGAAACGTCAATGGCATTTGTACCGTGATCATGAGAATTTTTAGTCTTCAGTTCCAGCATTCTTACGATAGATTCCAAGCTATCAATTTTCGACAGAAGCTCCTTTCTCTCATCCTCGGAAACATCTTCCAGTTCGAGAAGTTTCTGGTATAAATATATTCACATTATATTATAATTGTATTGTTATTTCACACACATATACCAAAAATTTTTAGATTTAAGATTACTTAATTTGAAAAAAAGTAGTAATCACCTGATCTGATGCTTTCCTCAATTGCTTCTCCCTTTCGTACTGCGTGACAAGCTGTTCATTATCTTCTCTTAATAACTCTAGTTCGACTTCACGTTCTTGATTCTCAGTATATGATATATCCAAACATTCTAACACATTGACTAGCAGAGGCATCAAGTCTTTCACTACATCCTCATCATATCTCGCTATCATCTTCTCGAACTCTTGATAGATGCTGCCTGCCAAAGATTGTACTTTCTCTGACATGACAACATGGCTATCCTCATGCGTGCCATAGACCGTTTCTTGATCCATTTTGACCAGTGTTTTGTATATTTATCTATCTATCTATATACCTGTAACAATAATATAGAAAAATATTGTATGAACATATTTGTAATAGAGCAAATTCATCACTATTGACTGAGTTTCATGTATACTGGCAAGACTCAGTAATATAACATGCTCAGTAATATAACATGCAGTAATAACGTGCTTTTGAGTTATATTATTGCTTAGCAACATCTAATCGTTTAAAATATTTTATAAATATAGGTATAATAATGATTTAGACCAATTTATTAAAAAGTTTTGCAAAGTATCTGCTATAAATTTTACCAACAAAATGCCAGAAGAAATTTAATAAAATTTATTAACAGAATATGACAGCAAATTGATTACAGAGGCAACATTGACCATTTCATAATCATAAGATGATATATATTTCATGATTAAGAAATGAGATTTTATTTGGTTTCTAATGACAGTTTACTGTTAGATTATGTCTGCACACTCTGCTAGAACATGAACTAAATATGATTGCATTTGATGCTAATATTCTGTTGAAATCTAGGCAAAGCGGAATCATGTAATTTGTAATTATTTAAATGGAATATGCCATTAAAATGATTACAGGATAACAGATCCTGCTCAAGTCTACAATCAATCTGTTATCATACATTTTTATTTCTCTGCTAGCATTCTGCTAACAAAATTTATAGTGAATATTTTGCAAAATCTGCTGACGATAGATTTATCTATTTGGAAGTATATCAGCAATTTGCCTGCAAATTCAAATAAGTAGAATATTATGGCAAGTTGACATCTATATTAAGCTTATGTTTTGCCAATCTGCTATAATCTGACAGCAAATTTCCAATGGAAATCAAGCAAAATCGTGTCATTCTGTAATCATTTAGATATAATAATTCCATGTAAATGATCACATAACAACTCTGCTTGATTTCTGCTGGCAATCTGCTGACAGATTGTGATGAAAAAATACGAGTTTAATGTGAACATAGTTAATGCCAATGTACTGCAATATTCTGCTCAAGTCTGCTAGCAAATTGCTGGTATGCAGTCAACATTTTGCTTCCTAGGAAAAGAAAATCATTTCAATATCTCAAGATACCCAGCAGTATCAGATCAAACAAAAACAATATAGAATGATTAATTGCACTACTCAACTCTTTGGACTTGATACAATTACGTTGCACTTTTCACAGCCAGTTCACAAACGGATCCTGGACCACGGGACGTCGTCGAAAGCGTTAAAGGGCGCAAAGAGGTGCGCGTCTCCGTACGTGGACCATCAAGAGCGTTGGTCGGTGAGCTGTCGTCCATTCGCCAGACCTGCGAATGGCCGGAAAAACGACTCGGTAGCGGTCCACCGCGATCGACGTTCGTCGGCGGGTCGAACGTCAAGCGCATAACTCCGCTTATAACCTCCTACGTGCGACTCCGTCCAAGACGTCGCGCGAGAGCAGCGAACGGCAACTCGACGCGCGGCCAGCGCGGTGTCTCATTGCATTACCTGCGCGTCACCGTCCTCTTTCTCTTTCCTATCGCACGTCTCTCGTCGTGGACTCACCTTGTCCACCTCGTGCGCCACTCACAAGCCGCACGCGCGCACGTACGGGTCCGATCGCTAACGGTCGCGCGTGACGTTTCGCAACCACCGCCACGGGCGAGAGATTACGCTTTTTTTTTCTTGTTCTTCTCTTCGAGTCCTTCGCAAACACTCGGCATGACAGTCGCGCGACACGACGAATGACGACTGTCTATCTCTCTCTCTCTTTCTCTTTCCGCGTAATAAATCAACACAGAATTCGGAGCACGACTGTCAATCGACGACGATAGGACAGGACCAGTTGGGACCAGTCTTTACACCCCGCGAATTCTTCTAGCTGTTTTTCGCCATCCAGCGATTTGCTGTCCCCCTCGACCCCGATTGCAACGTGTTCGGAAATAGATGCCCGACATCCCCGTCCGCGACGATCAGCGACGACGTTGCCTTCGCCTACTCTCGGTTCACTTCCGTTAGGTGGCCGTGGCGTCATTCGACAACTACCATCGCGCTTGGACACGCGGTTGATAGGCTCGATAGCGCATTTATCATCGACTGACATGAATCTACGTGGCGTAACTGAACGCAACCACGATCAGTTAACCGATCATGCCGTCGCACTGATATAGCAAGAGATCTATATCTATTAAAAATATTTTTCTTACGCAGAGATATGAGCGAATTAAATAAAACAGGAATGATTTTATATTGATCCAACATTGCTTGAAAGCGTTCCAAACAAACGAATTAGATGAGCTCATAGCAATTTATTTATAATCATATCATATACAATAATAATTTAAAAAGCTTCTTTTAACAGAAAATATGAAGAGACAAAGATATTTTTATATTATAAGAGTATCACATAAGTTAAAAGAGAAAGAAAACCAAGTATTACATGCAAATAAATTACACTGTGATTCTATATTACGTTACATATTCGATACAATGTCATCGTATTACACTATTATACAAAATGTTCGGAAATTCAACCGATAAATTTTCAGAGATCGTTGGGGGCACCAAAAAGATCATTTTTTGCAAATGGACCTAGAGTCGTTTCATCGTTACGGCAGACAGTGTTTCAAAAAGATCCAAGAGCTGATCTAGCTACTGATCTTGCCTAAGGTAATCTCGACTTTGGCAACACCATCCAAGGTTAAACTCATGAGGGGTCAATAAATAGATCTTTTTACATCCTATAACTTTTTTCTGAAACAATTTGTTATAAAACTTATAATTTTTTAAATATTTCGAGATTCACAATCTCTGAAAGTTTGGTTGAATTTTCGAACACCTCGTATAATATATTATCATATATTATAGTAATCACATATTATAGTAATTATATTATACTAGTATAGTATAATATTAAGATGCGTCCAGTTTATTCAACCAAACCTTGAATCGAATCTAGAAATGAGCTTTGAGCCAAGTCTCTTGACGAGTACCATATGCATAAGTCATAATGCTAGAAATTGATCCGAAATCTCAGATAAAAAAAAAGAATTTACCAATTACACTGGTCATATAATCAAATTGTTATAATTTGTTAATTTTTTCTCTGTCTAAGATTTCAGTCGAATTTTTAACATTGTGAACACAAAGCTTTAATACATAAAACAGGATACTTAAATACTAAGAAGGATCGAATAATGTTTGTGTCACCAAGTAAGTATTGTCATGCTACTTATCTGGATAGTATAGGCGAGATAGTTTACTGCATCCATCCTAGCACTAGTCTACACAAGTGTCTGCCACAAGTAGATTTTAGGACTTTGCAAACAAATATCACATCCTTATATTCTAAGAAATGTGATCTAACTATTGACCTTTATATTATAGGACTTGCTCCGAAAGGTAGGTATCGACAATTAAAAAAGAATTGAAACCATAGAATGAATCTGTAGTAGTTGAAATGCTTGTGACACTCACAAGGCTTAACTCGTAGCTCGTCTTCAGGTTCGGCTAAATAATTTGGACCTTTTTAATGTATATACTATTATATAATAATATAATGTCAATATAATATTCAATATAAACCTATGATACATGAGTGACTCAACTTCTGTCCAGAATTATGGTAATAACAACGAAATTGTACTTAATCTCAATTTAGGTTTCTTTCTTGAAGTACTCTCCCCTTCATATATTGATACTCTTTCCATTTTGACAACAAAACTATATCTGCACAATAAATGTCTTTGAGTTGATGTATTAGAACCATCACTCAGTGAAGATTATCAGCTTCGTCTTGGCCATTCCTGGCTTCTGCATATCATATATTTAAGTATTAAAAAAATATGTTAGGCTTGCAAAAAAACGTTGTACAATTTTTAAAGGCTTAATCCTTCCTTCAGTTAAACTTTTATTGAGTAGCACTGCTCAAGCTTGCATATCCAATTCATTCCATATTGCTATTATTTTATAATCATATCTCGTTTCCATACCAGAGGGAACTTCTCTACTTCTTCTACGAGATGCGAGAATTCGGTACGCCACCGTTTCTTGAAGAAATAAATTCCAGATAAAAATTGAACCGCCCATGTAATTAAGTGATTAATCTAAAATAGTGCTGATTTCTAATTCTGAACATTAACTTAAAGTGTATTACTTCGATCGAAATAAAAAAAAAAGGCAATAATGTATAAACGCCAAGATATTTCAGATCAAAATGTCCAGAATTACAAATTGCATTCTAAAGTGTAATAGCAATACGGTAATTACAGTTAGCATAAACAAAATATTAATTAGTAACGTCCGCGATTGCCACTATTCCAGTTTCCACCTCGGCCGCGCAAACCGCCCATGGCGTATCCCCTGTTGTTGAAACCTCCTCTGTAACCGCCGCTGCGGTTATCATTAAAGCCACCACTATGTCCGCCGTAGGATTCGTTATTCGAGACTGGGCCGCGGAAACCTCCATTTCCTCGCATCAGTTTTGGAGGTGTGTTATAATTAGCACGAAAACCGGTTACGTGTCCTCTCGGGGGTCGCGATGATTGTAAACTACTACTGGTTATCGGCTCCAGCTCGTGCCGACAAGCATTCATGTTGCATAATGCTTTAATCACACTTAGTACCTGAAAAAAAAAAGTTTTATTACTAGCGTTTTCAAAGTTACATTAGAAAATGTCCTCTCCAAAGAATATTTTATATTATATGTTACGATATAATATATGTTACGTTTTTGGAATCCATATTATCTAACAAATATTATAGAAAAAAATTGAGAAAAGAACAGAGAGAAAAGAACTACTATTTAAAGTATAATAAAAAAGAGAGATGTTAAAATAATGTATAAACAATCTTATATTTATCAAATAAAAGTCTATATAAAAATAGAAGCAAAATTAAAGCAAAATTGTTATTATATATGGTATAATAGTTTCAATATATTTTATTCCAATTAAAAATATTTTTTGTTATTCAGAAATTTTCCAAATTTTTTAAGAACTCTAGATCTTATTGAAGGCTCCTAGTCAATTTTAAAATATTTTTTACAAGAATGTTTATTATGTATTTTCTCACTTCTGATATTGTGATCAAAGATAATAATGGTTAGTGTGGCCAAGAGTTTTAATATAAAATTTAATTAAAAAATATATAAACCTTTTGCATTAACTTGATATATACATATAGATTAAAATTTCAAACAAACAAAGAAGAACAGCCTATAACGGTCAAAGCTGGATCACAGTGCTTATTATAATTATGTGTAAATTTTATATACTACATATGTAGTTTATCATCTTCATATTTAATATGTAATTAATCAAGTAAAATTTGTGATATTACTGTAGTATTTATGCGTTATGTTTGAAAGTTATCAGCGCGCAATTATGAGGGGACTACATAAGTAGTCCCAAATTTTTAAATTCAAAAGAATTTAATATTTATTAAAATTTCAAGTTCAATTTATACCTTTTCTTCAGTCGGACTCAACTCTAAAATCGTTTCTGGATCCTTGGATGCTCGAACTACAAGACTTTCCAAAGCTGGTCTTAGAGCAACAATAGCTGCTGCATGTTGCGGATTCATATCCAAGTTGATCCAGTTGTCCAGTCTAATCACACCATCTATATATTCTACTTTTCGTGATCCGAATAGTAATAGATGTATAGGTGATACCATAGTCATTTGTTTGCAAGATACAGCTCTCGTACGAATCTAATAAAATAAGATGTAGAGAGTTATCGGAGCGTGAGAGAAAGATGTTCATAGGTAGAATTTATCTATACAGCAAGCATATCAAAAGTTTGAACATAAAATATCGTATGTCTCCATTTTAGACATTGCGCTGTTTAAATACCTTTTCACCAAATACGAAGAACGGGAATGGAAAGTTTTGCTCGAAATTGCTGCAATTCACCGATGTTTTGTGAATCAGCGCAGCCTTCGATTCTGTGGTAAGAACTTTCCGTTTCTCCTTGTGATAGCACACATTGGGATATAGGCCCATGCATAATAGCGCGGTGATGGTGTCGAGACGCGGGTCCGCGCTTGCTTGATAATTTAATGGCATGGGGCACAGAGTCTCCTCGGGAAAACCGGAGCTTTGCAATAACGCTTGTAGTTGATTCTGCACATACCGAATGATAAAAGTCATTATTGCGAGTATATAAAAATATATGTAGCATTATTAGCGATATCGCAATTCTACCGACCTTAGCTTCCCAAGTAATTCGTAAAGTTGGTAAACTCAGGCTCTTTGAATCGCAGAACGTCTGTTCTGCCCATTCGCCACCTGTTCTCGCTTCCTCCCATGCTTGAAAAGCATGAAACATTGCGACATGGTCGCTAAACCTAGCACCAGCAAACCACTTCTGCTGAGCAGTCAGCCTTTTCATATCCGGACCCATGTTGTATACCTCAGGGAAAGTGGTGCTATTCGCGGCCATCGTCGAGAGCGCGTCACCCACGCGGAACATACATCCTAGGATCATCATTTTTCCTAGCCGCGGTTCTATAGGTAAACGCGCCAGAATTTTGCCGAGAGGCGTTAATTCGTCGTTTTTATCCAAGCATTTCATTTCTACGTACATAAAAATACAAAAACAAAGTTTTAGAATTAATTGATTATAGAAAAAGAGAAAGATAAAAAGTATATACCTCTTAATACAACTTCTGCTTCAATCACGGCGTCAATGGGAGGCGGCTCGATTGCTTTCGACAAGAATTGACCGATATTGCCTAATCTTAACAGCTTGATACTCAACGCCAGTTCGTGCAGAGGCGTCCTAAACATTTCTGGTGTCATATGTTCGTCCATCTTATCAAATCGAGCTTTTGAGCACAAATGGAAACAGAAACCGGGTCTAACGCGACCTGCTCTACCCTTGCGTTGTTCCAGATTTGTTTTACTGGCCCAAACAGTTGCATAATTAGTCATATTATTGTGCGAAGTGAATAGCTTCATTTTGGCCTTGCAAGAATCTATAACGTAGACAATATCGTTGATCGTGATCGAAGTTTCTGCAATATTTGTGGACAAAATAATCTTCGTTACAAATGACGGGACAGGATCAAAGACTTTACGCTGATCTTCTCTCGGTAATTGCGAGTGTAATGGGATAATAAGATAAGACGATCCGCCAAAAAGAGTATGTTGTTGAAGGTGTTTCATCAATGCGAATATCAAATTCCATCCAGGGAGGAAGATCAGCACAGCACCTGAAATATCTTGTACTTTAATGTACGTAAGTAACGCTTCTATTAACTCAAAGCTTATCTCTTTCTCTGTCAGCTGTCCCATAGCGTTCTTTGTTTCATTAGAATAACCAGTACTGATGACTTTATTCAGGTTTTCTTCCGGTTCTGCGTCCGGTATTGGTAAATCGTCTGATTCCTTAGATTTACGTTTTCCAGAACCTGTAGGCGGATAAAATTTTGTCAGCTCAATACAGTCCTCCAAGAAATATTGCTGAACAGGATACGATCTGCCGGGAATCTCCACCACAGGACATTTGTTGAAGTATTCGCTAAACAATGTTGTATCAATTGTAGCAGACATGAGGATGATTCTAAGATCGGGATAGAGATGGATCATGTCTCTGAGCACCACCATAATGAAATCCGAATTGACATCTCGTTCGTGAATCTCATCAACTATAACGTGCGACACTCCTCTAAGGCCACCTTCCAGCTTTCTTAAGAGTACACCCACAGTGCAAAACATTATACTGGCATAGGGTCTCGGTAAGTACGACTCAAACCTCACAGAATATCCGACTGACTGTCCCAGAGACTCGCATCTCTCGACGGCAACTCGGTCTGCCACAGATACGGCAGAGATTCTTCTAGGTTGAGTGACAACTATACTGCAATATGCACCTTGGCCAGATGCGATATAATCATCCAGAATGAACTGGCAAACTTGCGTAGTCTTACCACATCCCGTATTACCACGTATGATAACAATCGGATTTTCGTTAACTACATTCATGATCTCGTTTTTTTTGTTGAAAACGGGCAGATTCGATCTTTCCTTGATGCTCGTCTGTATATTAACATCCTGCTGCAGCTTATCTCTCTGTTCGTTTAATAAATCTTCTGACAACTTATCCAAAGATATTGTTGCTAGTGGTCCTTCATCTATATTACATCCAGTCCATGGATTCCAATTCGGCTGAGGTGGTGACCAGCTTACAACACCGGCAGGTTGCGGTACGGAAGATATGAAATCATCCAAAACTTGATTTGTCAACAAAGATACGCCAGCAGTTGCCGTATCATTTTCATCTTTCGGTGTAGTATTAGCTTCTTTTGCAATTAATGGCTATTTTAAAGTTTGTATTTTTTATTATAAATCTAATTAGATATCTTGATACACACACGCATGCACGAACGCATAAAATAAGAATAATCAAAATGATTAATACCTGTTTAATATCAATTGGTTTTATATCCAAACTTGTAAGAACATCATGGATCTGATTCTCAATTTCTGGTGAAATTTTTACAGGATAAGCTTTCATCTGTTCCGTATCCTTATTTTTTTTTAATGTACCACTAAATGCTTCAATTACTCCTAGATGATACAATTGGCGAACAATAGACAAAGCACAACTTTTTGAAGCAGTTTGTTTATTTGATCCAGTTTCACGGCCGGTTATACCTGAAGTATTAAAACATTAAATAATTATTATGTTCTTATATAATATGATTAGACACATTTAAATAAATTGAAATTAACATACTTCGTGCAAGTTGCTTAATATAAAGTGACATTTCTGCCATAAAACTCCTGTAAAAAAAATTTCTATTATAGATATTATAAAATGTATTATATATGTTATTAATATAATTAATAATTAAGGGAACAGTGTGAAAGAAATATATACATAATTAACATAATTTGAAGAATATAACAAAATATTAAATATTTAAATAATTGAATAAGATATTTATTGTACATATATTAATTTTACTTATTAAAAGATCAATAAATTAATCTTATTTTATTATTAGTAATTTCTTATAAAATATGTTGAAACAATGGGGCATGTAAAATAATTAAATTTATTTCTTGTGATAACCATCTATATCAAAGATAAACTTTTTGTTTCACTTATTCCCTCAATTAATTACAATGAATAATGACTCACCATTTGAAGATGTCACAGATGACCACATTGGAGTACATTGAAGAAAGATTCTTTATGTAGTTGCACCAAAACCATTATTAAATCATTTTAATAAAAGTTTTGGTTTAACGTATTTATTATTTGTGCAGAAGAGAGTCATCGTTGACTCTCTTGCACTAGCTTTAGATATAAACGAGCAATATACTCCAAAATGGCCTTGTCAAATCTTAAATGGTACAACAATCAGCAAGCAATTGTATATAACAGTAAAACATATAAACTGAGCTATACACTGTATTGTAATGCCATTCCAATGTTCTAGAAAAACTCCATTTGCAAGACTCCATACCTCGTATGATCCGGACCAACCGGAGTATATTTGTAATCTGCATTAATTTTGTTAGTTTGCATAAACTGATGAAGCTTGGACTTGGCATTTTCTATCGTCCAATTTCCATGTATCCCAGAATTTACATCAACGTCTTCTGCATCTTCCACTTTCTTTTGATCAGCCAGTCTATCTATGTATGTATAATTACTCTGGCCACGTTCATTGTACGGCCTGTATGCTTGACCAATGTCATTCGGTCCCATGCCTCCTTGAAACACCGATTTTACTGGCGTTAAAACTTCATTTTTCATAGTATCTGCTAACATTGTCGCCGGCATCGCAGGATCTTTCGGTACATCATTTAAATTCACGCAATTTGTGCGTACTAAATAATTGACATAATCTCTCGCAGCATTTCCTTGCGCGTCCTTCTTGTTAGTCGAATTTCCTGCACCGACATAATCGAAGCCAGGTACTCGTAACTCGCAGAGGAAACGTTGCCTATGCTTGGGTCCTGTGAAACGAAATAATTCACACACTCCATTTCGACTAATCTGAACGGAATAATATTTATAGATATATTTACCTGTTGGTCTAACATCAAATTGCGGTTCTTTGCCATTTTTCGCACACCATTGATGGAAGAAGGATTTTATATCGCCCATTTTTCGAGTCTTTCGTCAATACTCTCAGGTGCTAACGTTCTTCTCTCAGTCTTTAGTAGTTCAGTCTTCAATGGGCGCATTCAGCAGAAAAGAGCGCTACGAGAGCGCTCGCTGTTATTGGTATATTCTTCCAGATTTAAAATTCTGATTGGATGATCTAGAAGAATACACCAATAACAGCGAGCGCTCTCGTAGCGCTCTTTTCTGCTGAATGCGCCCAATGGCACACGACCGTCACGTCCAGAACTAACGTTCTTCTCTCGTATATAACATACAATACATATAAAGAAAATGGTTGAATTGTTGAATATTCACAAAAGGTTATCCATTGCTCATAATGGCGGAAACTATTATCTCGACCAATCAGAAATTCAGCTCATTTGCGGCGCGACTATTCAAACATGAATAAGGCAATTTAGCCATTTTTAATATATAATTTAATATAAATAAAAAATACTTTGTTAATATTTAATACATATTTGTTATAAAATTAATGAAAGTAATAATAATAATGTGATAACATATAAAGTAATAAACGACACAACACGTTAAACACAACTTTTTTTTAATAACAAAAAAACTTGCAAAGAATTGCACATGTTTTTTTTCTCTTGCATAATTGTTTCGTTTTAATAAACTGTTAATACAGCGGAAGCGTATATATGAAGGAATAATAAATGTCAATACAACAACCGTTTCGTATTTCCGCTTATATTTCTAAAAAAAAATAATGACAAGAAGAAATCGAGAAACTAACAAAACGTCGTGAGTTAATTTAATCTAATCTAACTCAGGGGAGAGCCATTTAACATTACAAATGCTTTTACCTTCGTGGACCAATTAGATGAAAGAATTCTTTGTTAATTCATAAAACTCGCGTTAGTCCAACGAAGGTAAAAGCATTTGTAATGTTAAATAGCTCTCCCCTAAGTTAGATTAGATTAAATTAACTCACGACGTTTTGTTAGTTTCGCGATTTCTTCTTATCATTACTTTTTTTAGAAATATAAGCGGAAATACGAGACGGTTGTATTGACATTTATTATTTCTTTATATATACGCTTGCGATGTATTAACAGTTTATTAAAACGAAGCAATTATGCATGAGAAATATCCGGCATTAACTTCTGTTTATTCATACGTCAGCTGATTGTATAAAAAACAATCATTTCTGCAAAACTTGAAACTCGCGGTTAGCTCAGTATCTGAGAATAATGGATTAAAATGGATTAAAATGGATTCAAATTTTCAGAAATACGGATTCATGAATGTTAAAATGAATCCTTTTCAATCTAAATATGTTTTTATTCATTTATAGGAATTGCATGGAGCATATCTGTATACTTTTCAATCCAAATACGTTTTTATTTATTTATAGGAATTGCATGGAGAGCATATCTGTATACTTTTCTATCATAAAATAATATTAGCTTTTTCAGTGCGTTTGTGACCACTGTTCAATTCATAATTTTGAATAGGAAACGCAGTTTTTCAATCCAGTTGTATCCAATTGAATTCAATTGAATCAAAAAAAAATTTCGCTGTTTAAAATACGAATTCGAATAGACAAAATCCAATCCATTTTAATCCATTCTCGGATGCTGATATTACATATATGGTAGATTTTGGCAACCAATCAAAAGTTGCGACCACATTGTCCTATAACTTTTATGTATATCTATCTATAGGAACACTACCTTACAACAATTTTTCAACAATTAGTCTATTTTCTTGCACTAGAACTCTTTTTCTCGCTATCAACAAATATTAAACATATGTCTGTTTCATTTTAAGTTCCAAAAGTGTCTATTAGTTAAACCTTCAGCCACAAAAAAACAGACATACGCCGATATTCATAGGCCGGTATTCATAATCAGTTCTTATATTCAAGACTGTCTTAAGTTCAGTCTTGAAGAGTTACGAACCAATCAGAGGGTCGCATTAACATCTTACGACATACCTTAAGGCAGTCTTAATATAAGAACCGACTATGAATACCGGCCTTAATATCATATGAAAATAACATGACAAATCTAATTTATATTTTGAATGATTGATGGTTATGGAAATATACACATTTTACTTAATTTCGTTTTAATTAAGTATCATATTTAAGTGCAATTAGTTTTAATTAATTTTTTTAAGTATTTTTATTTTACTATTTTAGTGAATACATAATTAAAAAATTTTAATACTTTAAAAATAAAATACATATCAATTTTAATTAATTATTTATTCTAATGTTACTGCAACAGTAATAACATGTTTTGTTAAGAGACGAAATTTTTACAATTTAATGAAACATTTTTAAGGTAATATTCTCTTTAAAAAACAATTATTTAATACATTTCGAGATAGTTATATTATTAGGAATTAAGTTTCCTACATCGTAAAATATTTAAATATGCAAAGACTTATCAAGTCTTTTCCGTACATTACAGAAATATTATTCGCACTTACACAAGTATTTTAAAATTTATAAAAAAAATATTTGTACAATACTAACTTATTAATAAATCGTAGAGATGTGCGGCAATAATAAAACCTATAATCTACTTAATAAACTACAGCTGCGAATAAAAATTGCATCAAACTACATTCCTGTTCGGAGAACGGAAAATATTAACGTACTTTTTTATACTCTGATTTTAGCGTTAAAACAGATCACATGATCAAAATTGATGCGTCAATTTGAATTATGTTATCTATGCTAAAAATAAGCGTTGAGCATCAGCATGAAAAAGCACTTTTATAAGTAATGTGCGCTCTTTTTTTTTTCTTCTACTGAGTATATTATATTAGCAACGAAACACTACCGTGTTTCCAGATTAACTTAAACTAATCTCAACTGTACGTTTAATACTGAAAGCAATAGATTTTTGCATTCCAATATCACCAAGCAGTAATGTACATCGACAAGCAGTAACATATTCGATTCCTATTTGTATTTTATATGATAAATAGAGATTCAAAATACAAATCTTTAGCACGATTAGAAAAAATTTCGATTAAATTAGATTTTTCAGGTCATTCTCATAAGCGATAAAATTTATTATGTTATTAATCTATAAACTTGTGAGATGCCTGCAAAGCAAAGTTATATTGTTTAATGACCTATAACGATTACTAACAAGTAATAATTAATATGCATTCAATTTATTGTCATAATAATAAAATAATAGACGTTTTGACTTACTCAACTCATTCGTTTTTTACTTAATAAAGTTCTCGTCAATCAAACAAAACATTGGTTATAAAGTATTTTATAGCAGTATGATGCTGATCAATTGAACAAATATTCTATTCTTTACAAGTAATCTGTCAATACTGACGTAACTTATAAAAAAAATCGCACACATTAGGGATAGGTACAAATCATACGTTTAAAAATTATTCACAATTTATATCAATTTCTATGATTTAAATGTTTATGTGTAAATAAATTGATATAATTATTACAAACACTGAGGGTGCAGTCCCATGGAGCGTATCGCGGATTAGCGGATCGCCAATCACAGAATCGTTCTGTTAGATTTGCTTGCAAAATATGTAAACAGATCTAACAGGGGTACTTTCCAGCGAGGACGGAATCAGACACTGTGTAACACAGAGAATCGTTTCATCCTTGTTTAACATAGGCAAACAATAAGGATGTAATGATTCACTGTGTTACACTGTGTCTACTTGTGTCGTAGCTGGAAAGCATCCAGAACGATTCTGTGATTGGCGATCTGCACCCTGAGGAAGACTTAAGTCAGTACGTCTTTATCATCATTTAATTGTATACAATTATTAAAGGACTCTCAAAATTAAAAATTAAAATATTCCAGTTAAAAGGCTTTGAAAGTAACAGTTAAATAAATTTTGCACACAAACTTCCAAATATATTATATATAATTTATATTTAGGTTATATTATTACAAACTTTCAAATGTTTCAGTTAGATTTAGATTTCATCATCCTCAACGAAATCACAATTTTATTATTGTTATAACAATAAATTATATTCATATTAATTATTACTTGTTTCTGCTTGTCATAAACCATTAAATAATGTAATCTCGCTTTATTATGATATAATCTAATAATATAAAAATTGTAATATTATGTTATAAAATATTATATTATGTCAATCTCGTTTAAAAGATAAAAGGCAAGTTACTCGGAGCTGTTGTTAGTTTTGGGGTGTTAATAACTCGAGGACTGTGCGGCGTTTTGCGTGTGGAGAGGGGAGTGTAAGATGATGTTGTGGAAAGATGTTTCCTTAACGGTTTCATGGGTGTTCGTACTGGAGTTTTGTTGACATTGATCTTATTGGAGCTCTTTAGTATCTGTTCTGGCAACATTGAGCTGTGCAATTCTTCTCTATCCGTCATATGGCCCTGAAACTGATTATATGTTGTATCTGTGATGCTGTTGACAGGTGACAGTGATTCCTTCCTTTTCTGTCCACCTTTGGAAGATCTGCCCGTTTTCTGACCAATCTTTGGAAGTTTTCCACTCCTTCTGACTTTGGATACAATGATAGTAGGCTTATTCTTGTCAGCATTTTTATTTCTACGTTTTAACGATGAGTTGGGAGATGGACTGAACAGTTTGCGTTTTGATAATGGTCCTCTGTGTATGCTCAAGTGAGACATACCTGGCGTACGCTTAGAACTATTTAATAAAGGCGATTTTTTAATTGATTTATCTTTCGCCTCTTTCCTTGCCTTTTTCTTCGATTCTCTTTCCAGAGTGACACTTTCCCAACTCTCTGCTAAAACATTTTCCAATGATGTGCCATAAATAGTAAACATCTTATTATGAGTAGCCTCGTAATTCTTGATCAATTTCCTCAATTCTGTTTCTATTTTTGGTAGTTTTCTTTGTATAGCATTGCGTTCTTTTTCTTCCATCAACAATTGGCCTCCGCGATTGTGATAACGATCGGGATTGTTTGCTCGCTGAAGCAAATCCTTAACTTTTGTTATCAAACTTTCGCGTTGCTCTAGAAGGTCAAATATCGTTCGATTATCGTTATAAAATTTGCGAAGTCTCTCCACTTCTAACTCATGTAACGTCAAAAGGTCCTCTGTGAATGTGTTAGAAAAAAATGGTGCAAACGTGTTTCTTTCTGTTTCACAGTATTTGCACAAATCCCATAAATTCAGCAGGTCATATCTGATCTGTGTGACATATTTCAAAATATTTTCTTTTCTTTTTTCCTTACAACGCTTTATTTCTGCTGCAAGAGCATTTACAGTATTAGTATTATAACCAGGATGTCTTTCGAGGAATGATTGACAAATATCAGCAGGTTCATCAAGATAATTCCATAATGCCAATAAATCTTCCTTCATTTTTTGGATATAACATTTTGTGTCTTCCATTTGCACATTCAATTCATCCTTATATTCTTTCAGTTTTGTCATATTATTCACACTCAGCACAAACTCCTCGGAATTGTTGCAGATTAATTCTACAAATGGCGAAGATGGAGATATTCCCAAATCATTCATCATTTTGATTATGGAACAGCGTGTATCTGTAAAAACATTCTCTAAATGTGTCTTTTCAATCTCTTGCTTTTGTAGATAAAGCTTAAAGCTCTCAAGATCTTGCTCTGTAGGTATAACGTTCTCGATTATGTTTAATGCTTTACATCCGAGCTTCTTGCAAATTTCTTGTTCCTTCAACAATAACTCCTTGAGCATTATGATGCGTTCTTTCTTTATACACTCTAAATTTTGTAAATCTGTTTGAAGAATTTGTTCAACTTGGTACAAAGGGACATGGTCATATGTTTTCGGTACTATGCCCATTTGTAATTCTACATACAATGATGTTGTTTGTTTCAACAGATCTTGTATATTAGAAAATAACAACTGTTGCTTTGATTCTGCTTCAGCGACCATGTCATTTAACAATTCTTTTACATGACTATGCGCTTGTACATAATATGTTGTTCGCATATCCTTGGTACATCCAATGCCTTCCCAGGTTCTCTGGAGATTATCGAATGCCTCTTCAAGTTCCAAGACTATGTTTTGCACGACAGGCTTCCACTCTGGTTGATCGGCCATTATTTCTACGTCTTTATTTTCTTCGAAAAAGAATAATATCCAAGTTAAGAGTACGGCTCAATACGATTGTTATAAATTGTGCATCGTCGCATACATACCTCAATCTCTACAAAGTGTCGATCTATTGCACGAAAAAGATTCACACGCGTCACTTTTGCCAAGAAACGACGCCACAATAAACGCATGCCGTTAGCTTTTTAAATTTAAAGTATAAACGGTCTATGTGAGTGATTGCTGGGTTTGCTTGATGGCGTTGTTGTCGCAACACACCAGCGCGTTCCAAAGTTCATCAAAAGTATGTTGGGCTGCGTTCAGATTCCTTACCGGGTGGGTGCTCGCTGAGTGATTGGAGGTGCGGTCGAGTTGCCACTACAAATGCTTTGAAGCGTTTGATGCACCAATCAAAAGAAAGAATTTTACAAATTGACCAATCAAGAAACGCTTCAAAACATTCTTAGTGGCAACTCGACCGCACCCTGGGTAAAGTGGGCGGAACCCAGCGAAAAGTACCCCCGAGTGTTTTAGGAATCTGAACGCACTCATCACTACTCATCACCACACCATCAATAGAATTTGCCCTTTTTCTTTAATATTAAACACAATGCGAGGGAATAGCAATAGCGGTAAGTTTCAACTTATCAGAAATCGAATACACCGAAATACGCATTTTTGTTAGGTTGAAACTTATCGCTATCGCTATTCCCTCGCATTGTGTTTAGGGCTTTAGTTGATATAGATCAGTATACATATTCTGTAACTTTTAACGCAAATTATAATATAATATTTATAATAAATAAATAATAATTATTATTAACAATTTATTAAATATTTATTATTTATTATAATATAATATTTATATTTATTCTTTTTATTATAATATTTTGCGCTTATAGGGATACTGCTTATAGCCAATGAGCTTACAGCTCCTAACATATTCATTGGCTACCGTGTCACATTTTGCCGCACGGCAAGCGTTTCCGCGTCCAGTGTGCTGGAGCCATTACTTCAGATCTACAATAAATTTTTAAGCCATAAAAAATGGACGAATTACAGTCAATTATTCTCCTCGTGTTTGACTGTAATTGGTCAATTTCTTACGGCTTAAAACATCTATTGTAGATCCGGACTTACGTCAGTCACGCTAAGCCGGTTCTACATTAGTTGCAAGCCGATCGCAAGTTCGTCGCGACAGCCAATCTGACGCGTTGATTTCAAAATGCAAGCTTGAGATTGGCTGTCGCAACGAACTTGCGATCGACTTGCAACTAATGTAGAACCAGCTACGTGCCGCGTCACCGCTATTGATTACGTTCGTCGGCGCGCTGGCGCTGCTATAGTGCTATGTTCAATCGCGAGCGAGCGATCAGACGAGCGTACCCGACGTACGTACCACGTGACCGTGGTTTACAAACGGCCGTTGTGGCAAACTGTCCGAGTGTGCGGTACCCCTTCTCTCCGCGTTCGTACGCACGCGGTACTCCGTGCGTATATCAACGCATACGCGGAATTGACGTGCGGTGAAGAGTGGTGAAAAGGGAACGCCGCGCTGCGCGACGCTTCTGCGGGACGCTTGTAGTAAGACCTGGAATCACCTGAGAAATCGTCAATCGTAGATCTTATCAGATCCTACCGTCTGCTACTCTCTTCTCTATCGTACCGCAGAGATCTTTAAACTACGGCGCCGTAAATTGGTGTGCGTGTGTGTTTCCCTACTTGTGTGAGTGCGCGATTACCGTTTTTCGTGAGAATGTCACGTTTACCTTGCCCTTATCGCTGAACAAAATACATTGGATCAAGGAGAATCATTCACCTGTTATTGGATGCCTCAATTAGGTTTATCTTTTGATCATTTTATACTTAGGTATTCCAAGTGTAAGCTAGAACATAAATGAGTAATGTAAATGAGTACGTTTACTGTAAAAAATTGTAAAATGATTCCGTTCTGATTACATGAATCTTCTATTCTGATACAAACTAATGTCCATTTCTATAATCTACTAATACAGATTAAAGTTAATCTGCTAGTATAGATTAACTTTAATCTCAGTCTAATTTACTTCATATGTTTTTCTAATTGTGAGATTTAGAAAAAGATAAGATTAAATTAAATCGAAATTTATTTATATTTTTATAAATATACATGGAATTTTGGTTTAATTTACTCGTAAATAATGAAATTATTTGATGAACATCAATATATGTCTCAAAATAAGAAAATATCTTTTACTTGATGTTCCAAGCTTGTGTATGCAATTAAAACATAAATGAGTAAAGACAAGGCAGTAGAGTATATTTTTTATGTAAACATAATGAAATAATTGATTCATAAATTTAACTTTAAGGTAATTAACAATAAAAATAGGACTGTGATACATGATCAAGTTATTGGATTAAAAAAATAAAGACATATTTTATTGTTAAAAATATAACAATATATTTTTTGTAAACATGGTAAAATGATCAATTTCTAAATACTCAACTTTGATAGCAAGACTTATGATTGAACAATATCATTACAAACAATGATATTACTTGATTAAATGTAAATATATTTCATATTATTAAAATATCTTTTACTTACATATTCCAAGCCTGTATAAGCAACTAGAATGTAAGTACATGAAAATATAACGATGAAATAAAATATAAATATTATGAAATAATTGATCTGAGAATGCTCAATTTCTAATATTATAAGACTTACTTGAGTTGGTGCCATTGCAAACAATAAATTATTTGATTAAGCATAAATATCATTTATATTATTAAGAAAATATTTTATTTTTTTTTTTTAGGTATTCCAAGTTCATGTAAGCAATTAGTACATGAATGAGTAAAAACGCACTGGTGGAGTATTGTAAGATAATAAAAATTATAAGATAGTAGATTCTGCACTGATTTATAAATTTCCAGATCTGTTTGCAAGGTTTGCAGTTAAATATTGTTACTCTGTAAATAATGGGAATTTTTTTATTAAAAATAAATTTTATCATTAAGAAAATATCTTTTTTGTCTACTATATTATTATATTTTTTGTATTGCATTCAGGTGCTATTGCATTCCATTATAATTATTGTGCATTTACGAGGAACATGGATAATAATATAGTAATTTTATGGGATGTTATCTATATAGTTCAAGAATGAGAATATGAAGAATAGTAGTCAGAAAGAAGAATCCATTGATAAAAAAAAATATGTTTTCTTCTCGGATCCAGATGTTATTGCCAAACGCGCCGAGACCTCTGCTGTTGTGAGTGATTTTTACTTGATCTCTTTTTGTTTGTATAAACATAAAATTCCATTTTTTTCTCATTTATTTTTTCATTGTAGGCACAGATTACCCGAGAACTCGAGGTGCAACAGAAAACTTTTGAAAAGCAATTAGCTGATTTGCAAGCGCCCACAATTGGCATAAATAGCTTAAAAAATTTGATATCCTATTATCCTGTACAGCCATATCCTTTTACATTTATTAGCGCAGTAAAACAAAAGCTTGCTTTAGAAGAACATTCTGATATCAGCGCTAAAGTACATGATTCAAGTTCTCAAACAAAAAGCAATTTGACTTCTTCAATACTGAAAACTAGTACACAAAATTTGACTGCACAAAATCAAATTAAACAAAAAATGGACTTCATTAAACCGCTGAAAGTACCTGATCTAAAAATTTCTCCAAAAGCACTGGATTTCTCCAGCAGAGAGAATTCTGTTTCAAAGGAGTTGCCTTCAGCAAAACCTGAAACAGCTATAAAGGAATTTGCACACGATAGATCTGATAAAGGCCTAAGAACTGGTGAAAGAGTACAGAGAAAATTAGACTTCTCTTCAGATGGATCGTCATTTATTAATTGCGAAAGCATAGAACCATTGAAAGCACCAAATGTCTCCATTGCGTCTAATTTAAGTAAGAAGAAGGACCATGTTAGAGATAATTCTAGAGAGAAGGAAAACAGATCCAAGAGGATGAAAAAAGATGACTCTTTGTGTGCAAGGAGGGACGAATCCATGCAAGACCAAGTAAAACGTAGTCGAAGTCCAAGACACATCTCCAGAAAAGATGCCAGTGATATAAGCAATTTAAAATTACCAAAAAATGATAGACCATTCCACGTTACAAAAGTTAATGATGTTTTGTCGGTAAAATCAAAAGATAAAAATTTTCTATCGTCTATTGTTAAAAAAGATAATGACAAAAGACAGAGGTCTTTTAATGTACAGTCGGTAGAATTAACAAAAGACAATCTTTCAGAATCTAAGATTCGAATATCTAGCAGTGAATCACCAGTTTGGAAGACGCTAGATAAAGTTACATTGAGAGATAATATGGGCGTTTTATCTAGCACTGAAAATAAATCTAAAGACATAACTCACTATTTTTTAAAACAAAAGTCTGAAATAGAAGACCTGAAATATAAATCTGATTCAGATAATAGACTATTGAAACAAGACAAATTAAATACTATTTATAAGGAGCAAACGAAAAGAATGTCTGATAAAAATAAAATGTTGAATAATAAAGGCGAAGATAAACTACATAGTGTCAATTCAGAACAATCAGAAGATGTTGAATTTATGTCTGAGACAAATAGTTCTAGAAGTCGAATAAGTGCATATCCTATAAGTTCTGCACAGTCATCAAAAAGTAAAGATATTGAAATAGCTATGGAAAATAAACAGAACATTAATTCTGCTAGATCAAATAAAACGTCAGAGAATTTTAAATATACAGAACATTCCGCGACACAATCTACAAGTACAAGCATTAAAAAAGACGAGGAATTGTGTTCCCAAAGCATTATTACAACTAAAGAAACAACCACTAACGATGATTCAAATGATGTGGGTGACACTACATTGCCAGAGGCATTATTTGATCCTAGAAGAATCTCTCTCAGAGACGGTTATTCCCAACCAGAATTTCATAATTTAATGACACCAGAAAAAATGAATCTTATACTCAGATCTAAACGAAGGAAATATTTAATGCAGAGCAGTGATTCGGAAGATGCGAGATGTCAAAAATACAAGCCAGTAATAAAATCTGAAAAGGAACAAGAGGAAGTACAATTGGTGAGTATGAATACATTGTCACACGTTTGTTCATTCATAATAGTTTTAGTAAAGTAAAAGTGCATTGGAATTTCAGATACACCCAACAGCTTTGCATATGCAATTTCAGGCAGAACTACATCTTTACGACTCTTACAATGAATCCCTCCGACAAGTAATGGATGTTGAAAAGTGTTTGTTCAATACTAAGTGTGAGGTGCAAGAACAAAAGAACTCACAGAAAGTCGATGAAAAAAATGAAGAAAAAGTTGTACAAATTGTAGAAGATTGTGCAGCTGCAGTGATTAATAATGATACTGTTGAAAAAAGTACGAAATCCATTATTAATAGAATTATGTATAAATAATTAAATATATTAAACACTCTGATAGCAAAATGTTGCCAATTTGCGCGTAAATTGGCAGCAAATTCAATCAGATTTACAAAACCGTAGCCATCTGCGTCCGCATTTGGTTATGGATTTGGTGACATTGACATTTTGCACCAGATTTGTAGTAAAAACTGAGCGAAGTATGCTGACATAAGATGATAAAATGATGCTAACAGTGTGCTCTCCGAACGCACTCAGCGGTTAGATTGCACGGACAAACTATCAAAATAGACATTTAAATTTTAAATGACTAGATAAGCGCAGACTTTGCTCAGTTTTTCTATTGCCAATCTGTCGTCAACTTCTCTCAGCAGGTTCTGCTCCAAATCTGTTTCCGCAGGTTTTGTTATTAGGGCATATAATTTGAAATATTTTTCTTACAGCAACATGGAATCCAGCTAACTATGTAAAAAGAGACATTGCCGAACCTCGAAAATTAAGCGATGAAGCACATTTCAATAGAGAGCATTATATCCCAAACCAAGGCAATATTGATGAATCAGATTATGGATTTAATTATGGAAAATTTAATAAAATAAAAGTGGGAGTGAAAGTGGCGGAAGTACAAACGCAAACAGTGAACGATATAGCGACCCAAACGGATATATCCACAAATGAACGAAACGCGCAAAATAGATTGACAGAGATCTGTGACAGAGAAAACGCGTACGAACCATTTTTGAGAGAAAAAAAAGGTCCTCAGTTGTCCTTAGATTCGGCTGAACAATTCGGAGATTTGGATCAAATAGAACAGGTATCAGTGCCAAGCAGAATAAGGACCATGTCGGAAATTAGTTTGCACGAAACTACATCATCTATAAAAACAGAAACCGGAACTGAAATTAGTATCTCGACCCGGGGTGTAACGTGTTCGTTTAATCAGTACATAGGTTCAGAGGTAATTTCATTATATGTCTATATATATATAATACATGTAACATACATATATACATGTATGTGTGTATGTATATACGCTTGCTTGTATTTATAATTGTAGATATTAATTGCATATTTTTTTATATTTTCCTTTCAGATAGCACGACTTTTAAGAGACGAGAATCAACGAAGCTATCAAATCGAAGAATTATTTAAATTTCGCGAAAAAACAATAAACGACAAAACTAAGAAATTGGAGGAGTTGGAACTGCAGAAACGTGTAATGAAAGGAGAAGTTGCCCGTTCCCTGAGAAAAAAACAAAGAGCTCTGCTTCTAAAACTACAACAAGAAAAAGATGAAATTCAAAGGTAAGTAACATTTATGTGACGGTATATTTTTAATTTATTGTGTTAATTTTTTTTTGTTTATTGACAGATTAAAATTGTTATACGAAATTACAAGCCAAGAACGAAAACGTATGTTGCAAAAACAGAGGGACATGTTCAATTTGCAAATGTCAACGAAGAATATCTTAACGAAATTAAAGAGGACCGCAGACAGTCAATCGCCAAGAAGATTATCAGGTCCTATGAAAGGTTACGATATACGCAGTAATAGCTCTTTGAGCTCCTTGATTGATTCAGATAAATCTCAGCATCAGATGGACACTCGTCTTCATGTATCTGAGAGCGACGTATCCAAATTTGATTGGCTGAAGTCCAACGTATTTATAAATTTAGGTGAAGAAAGCAATAAATCCGCAGCAAAACCCAATGACTTAGCTGAGAGTAAGGAGCAAGAGAAAAGTCCCATACAGTTGCAAAAGAAAAGCGATTTACCAAAATATGAACTGAGATCTCGAAAATACGAAGAAAAAATGCCCAGAGCAGATGTTTTGCTGCAGAAGCAAAATCAGAGATTGGACATGGAGTCGAAAATGAAGCAAGGCCATCCCATGATGATAAATATTCGGCTCTTGGAAAATCAAGATGAGATCAGATTATCGCAGTCACCGAGACCAGAAGTAAAAGCATCAGTTCCTGAAAATACAAAATCCGAATCAGATACATTAGTAGAAGAGTTGTCTAAAAGATCATTGTTAGCGGAAGTGGTGTCTAAACATTCAAAACTATCGCAATTAACAGAGCCTTCCATACAAACCATGACAATCGCAAAGGAGAAAGAATTAACTTCTAATGCTGTAACCACCAATAGTGAATCTATAGAAGAAGAGATAAATGCAATAACCCAAGACACAGTTTCAAAAACGCAGTCACAAATCTCCGAAATATCACAGACAAGTAAGAACTCTAAAAAGATCGACAAATCTATCACGAGCGATAGAGACATATCCAAAAAGTCGCAATATAATACCGAATTGAAAACAAGCTCCAAACGTAAAAATTCTAAGTATCAAAAAACGAAATCATCTTCTAGTATATCAACGGAAAATATATTGGGATCCAAATCAAGCTCTCATATATTGGAGGAGTTTGTTAAGCATCATGATAAAGGAACGAAAGTGAAGAATGAATTGTTTCAGTTAGTTAACAACAAAGAAAGTTCAATCTTGAACGAATTAGATGTTAATGAAAGCCAAACTTCGCTTCAGGCATTCGTTAAGAAACATTCGCATTCGAAGGCTGTCAAGGATAAGGAAAACGGATCCACTCAAACTTTACACAAAAAACTTGAGAATGATGATAGTCTTCCTAGAATCGAGCGAGATACTCAAAATGCATCAATGTCTCAAATTAGTGCTTTTGCCGTTTCTCATCATAGTTCCGAAAGTGAAAAAAATCTCTCAAAATCCGTAGTTGTTTGTTCGCAAAACAGAGAATTTGAACGGTAAGTGCATGGTGTATATATTAATTTATCATATTTTTCTTTTTTACTTCAATATGATTCGAAAACTGTTATTTGACGCGATACACGTGTGTTCCGCCAATAAAATATTGAATCACTAAAGTACGCTGGAAAGTCTAATAATAAACTGCACATCTCCACGCCACATTGAGTAAAGCATTGTAAAAATAGATTCTCTGCAAAGGCAATCCGCATAACAGGCATGCACATGCATATTCTTGAAGCTGTACATTTTCTTCTGTTCTCTCTTCAGAATTTTGAACGCACGCGAAACCGCACTTGCATCACGTAAGAACTGCGTCAAGGAGTGGATGGCGTGGCATGCAAAATTACGAGCAGAAGAGGACCGTGTTACTCGTATGGAGCAGGCAGCATTTAATCTCGTTGCAACAGCATCTAATTTGAGTCAACAAGGAGGGGGTAATATATAAATACACTTATATAAAAGACCAATTAATTTACATTATAATGTGTGATAATTCTTAACAAATTCATAATAAATTAATTTCAAATTAAATTGTAACTATGAATTGAAACGAGTTTCTTTGCGGATGTTATAATAATCATCACAAATCGTTACTTTATTAAATATTAATTAAATGTAGTTTTTTGCATAATTCCAAACTCTGATCACGATCAGAGAGACGTCTGTGCTCTTTTATAGATACCACGGTGTCGTCTGATACGAGCGACGTCGAAGGAAGGATAGGAGTTCTTACTGAAAAATTAGCGGAACGACGTCTTGAAATGGCGCGTCTAAAAAGAGAAGCAAAGAAGCAAGCGAAGAAACAGCTACGTGCTTTGGAAGCAAACTTATTAAATCAAATCAAAGTAAGTGTGTGTGTGTGTGTGTGTGTGTGTGTATATATATATAGATAATTATTCGATTATTATTATTATAACTTGAAACTTCTGTTTACATTTAATTTTTTTTTATACTTGACAGAAATATGACACGACCATCCATGAGATGCGTAAAAAGTTGGAATCGAAGAAAGATATCAAAGAAACTGACAATTTAGCTATAGAACCAAAGTCATTAGCTGATTTTAAAGTACCTGAAATACCGCTTAAGAGGATACAGGACCTCTACAAAAGTAGCGATTTATTAAGATCCAGATCGGAATCTGATCTCTTATTAACAAAAAATCGGCAGGACTTAACGAATGTCATAACGCTAACGTACGATGATAAGTGCGAAAGGGATGATTTTCAGAAACCTGCAAAATTTGCAGATATTAAGAGCGCAAACACTTTAGAATTAAAAGATACTAGAGATTCTTGCGATAGTGTTCGAACTATTTTAGACGATTATACATCGACAGAAGTATACGAAAAAATTCAAACAACACCTTCAGCATTATTAACTGCGAATGATGTGTGTTCTGGAAAATATGCTATTTCTAAAAGGCATAGAGAATCCATTACTATTGATATGAAACAGACTAGTGTATCGCACGATGCGGAAGATGTTAAAACGAATACCAGTACAGTTCAAACAATGTCGAATGCAAGATTTGAAGATCACAGTACTATTAACACTGAATCAGTAGATAATAGATTAATTGCTGATATCAATCAATCACAATCAAAGACTTCCACAATACTATCCGAAATTCCGGAAATAAACATTGGATTTAAATCTATTCCGAGCAAATCTGAGCGTTTTACAGAAAATGTTGCACGTGTTACTGATTCCAGTATACTTACTTATTCGAGGAAGTTGGATTTTTTACAGTTAAATAATAAAAACTTAAGCGAGGATATAAGTTCTATTGAAAAGGATATAAAAGCGCTTTCAGAAATAATGTCGCGTTTAAGTAACGAATCGAATGAGCAATCTAAAATAAATAACGATGAAAAGAATACGTCACAAGATATATCAGAGATAATATCTAAATCAGTTTTTAGTGAAGTAATTGATACTGAAAATGAGAAACAGCAAGCAGTGTCACCAGAGAAGATAATTGATATGGAATCTTGTTCCACATCGACAAATAATAGGAAATCAATATCTTCCAGTGATTCGAGTCACGATAAATACATATCGGACAGAATAAATAATGAAATATCGGCAATAATCCCGGAAGAAGCGCCTACTATCTCCAATTCGTCTCATGAAATCGATTACGAAGCCAAAAGCCGAGAGATTATGAACGAAATAGAGAAATCTGTATTATCACAACATATTAAAATTGCAAGTGACGATAATTTAGTATTAGAAGAAAGCGGAAACGAAGAATTGCTGAATAATTTGGCCTCCGAACTCGATATAAAATCGATTTCTGAAATCCTTTCCAAAGTATCAGAAAGCAGGAAAAGTCTTGATTTTGCGAAGAATACAACAACTCAAATTATCGATGACTCGAAGAAAAATATAAATGAACAAAGCGAGTTGAATGAAGCAATAGTTGAAAAAGACTTTGTAAAATCACAAGCGGAAGAAGCACATTCTCTGAAACTTTCCGAACATTTAAACACTGCATTAGTGCAATCTCCCATCATTGCTGGTCACCGTTCAAAGGAAACTATATCGCAAAGTTTATTGAGTGCACCTAGCTTAATTTCAAGTCAGAACTCGCACGTTCTTGCCGGTAAGGATTTGAAATCATCAAGAAATATTCCCGAGGCAGAAGTCAGAATTGATGTTGAAATGCATGACAGTATCACAAATTCAATAGCACTCGCACCTAACGCTGATCAAAATCGATCGCGTCGGGTCAGTGCGAAAAATATTTCTAAGGATAAAAATGATTGGACGACGTCTGATTCGTTCGAAATGCCACAAGATGATATTAGTACTGGAGTACGTGAGGAATTCGACAATTCAAAATCGGGCTTGGACGATACTTTGAATAATTTCTCAGAAAAGACTATCGATGATATAACAAATCAAGAAGCAGAAAGCATTTTAATAAGCGACGTGTCGGATTTTCTTCCAAAGGGGGAATCTACAAATGTCGCAGTACAGAACGTTACCGACACTTTAGCACAATCTTACGTTGCAAGAAGTAACGACGAACTTGACGATATATTGGACATAATCGCTAGAGAAAACGATAAAGAGAAAAGCATTCCTAAAGACAAAGAGTTTGATAACATAATCTCTGATTCTATGACTGAATTATTAGACAGAGTTAAAGATATTGTAGAAAATGACAAGAATGTAGATAGTCATTTTAAAGAATTCTTATATGATACGGATATGAATATAGATAATCAAATTGAAGTTTCAAATATATCAATGTTGAATAACAAAACGCAAAAAGAAATAAATGTAGAAGATTTAAGCGAAAGTAATATAATCTCAGTGAATATCTGTAAAAATAATGAAGTTAGTAATCGTGAGGAAATAATAGATGCTTCGTTACAGAAAACCGATGAGACTGGCGATAAATCTGCCATAAATGTAAACTTATATATGGAAATCGATAACGAGGAAAGTCCACGCGAAGCGATATCGGAAGTACAAGAAATTATAATCACAGAGTTGGATTCAAGTAGCGCCGAGGATAACGCATTATCTGAACTTAAAATTGATGTTAAAGTCGAATTGGCAGAGGAATTTATCTCGTATGAGAACAAGAATGAATGTGCTGTGGAAGAAAACAAAGATGTTATGCCTATAGAGATAAAAGAACGTCTAGAATCAATCTCGGAACAAGATAGTTCGGATGGTGAGCAGCTGGACAACTTAGTGGAAGTTGTTGTAAGTGGATTGGATGTTGTAGAAAAAACTGTTACATCGCTCGATTCTTCTAAGTCGGTAATAGACGATGATGTGTCTATGATACGGACTGGACAAACTAAAGAAGAAATTACGGATGATACAGTCGAAAAGAACAACGAGATCGCGATATCAAACGCAGCAGTAATCGAAAGTGTCAACAAAACATTCGACATATTAAAAGATCCAGAGTATGAAGACATCTCCGAGGAGAGCCTCGAGGTGTCTGAAATTCTAGACAAAGATGACCTTCCGAAGGTAGGCATCACAAAGAAGTCTGCTAATTTGCCAGAGAGATATCAAACCATCCATAAATCAGAGGACGTATTGAGAATATTAGACGAAATCTCGCAGAAATCGTCGTACGATTCTGTAAGCAATTCGCAAAACAACGAGAAGAATGTTCAGAGCGCGCCAAGTGCAACGGAAGAGATCAGTGAGGTTCTGGGCGCAGATATTTCTGCGGAGGATGATAGTTTATTTCCCAAGATGAATAAAACAACGAGCAAGCTCAAAGAAGAATCTTCCAAGGTGGATGCAATGAAGGGTCGATTCTTGGAAAGAGTAAAATCGCAGGATGGGCAATCGATAGAAGTTAGTGATCCGGATGACTTATCTGAGAAGAGAAAAATAATTTTGAGACTGGACGAGGACAAGTCTTCTCAGATAATATATGAACTACGCGAGGCAGTCTCTCAACTGCAGGAACAGAATGGCTCGTCCGAATCCAGCGAAGCTGGCGATACTCCAAGGGGAGTATCCGAGATCGAGATGGACTCACCGAGAGATTTCAATGATTCGCGATTGGACATTGATATTCTGGACGATGATCTACTGAGCGGTACTAAAGCGACAAACCAGAGCATCGATATAGAAACCAATTTCCATTCCGCGTCCATTGTCACCACGTCAGAGAAGGATATTGAGGCTATGATCTACGAATTAAAAGGTATTCTCACTAATCTTTCAGTATATAATTCAAGTAATATTAGAATATTATATATATATATATATATATATACATAAAGATAGAAATATAGTAGACAATATACAGAGTCATTAGAATTAACTATAAATTCTGCCATATATCAATTCGAATTCTATATCTAATGTATGAATCAGAGTATCGATTCATTCTATTCTACAGTACTCATCCGTCCGATTGTATATATATTTTTCAAACTTCAAACGTTATGTGTGTTATTATAAAAGTTATATAAATATTGTAACTGCTATCGAATGGATATGTGGTCTAAGAGGATAATCTAATCGTGAGCGTTGCAAAGCAATAATTTTTGTGAAAAATGTTATTTGATTGAGCTGCAAGAATCGAATAACATTTCAAAGCAAGCCAACCTGTATATGTTGAGAGATATTGACTCTTTTTTTCTCTTTTTACAAATTACTGTTATCATTCTCGACCGAAATCATGCGATGCAATTTTTATGTGGGCTGACCATCTCAAAGACACACTCGATACATATTCACACATCTTGATCTATACATATTATATACTACAGAAACACCTTTTGTTTTTTATAATGGCTGTGTGCTCTCCTGTGCAAAAGCGTTGCCTGGTATAGCCATGTGTTGTTTATTTTCAGACAAATAGCAAAGTCGAGATTATATTTGTCTAAAGGTAATACACGAAACTACGAATGATGAACATTGACTTGTTATCTCTGTACAAATCAGTGTCGCATGAAATGCTTGATCCTTTCATTATTGATCCGTATGCGCACAAGAAAGGCCTGTAAATATTATGCATCACACACAATTATTCATCGATTACTATCTATTTTTCTTTTCCCTCCGAATCTGTCAGAAAAGATTTTCTATCGTGTACAAATGTTATATGGAATGTCCAACCTTGTCACAGCTTTGTACTACTATATATACATATATATATATATTAAAATATATTTATTTTG